CGTCTCTCGGATGTGGACAGTTGTGACACTCGCCCTTTTCTTATATGATTTGATTTTATAACTAATCTATCATATTTAAGAACACTATTATTAAGTAATTTCACGTAGACAAATGTTCAAATTAACAAAATTATGCTGATAAAAAAAGTGGCAGAACCGTACCTAGTCTCCCCTACACTATTTATATCATAAGTAATTATAAGTTTTTTGTAATAGTTGTGTTAACTTGGAGTAAAAAAGTTTGATTGTAGACAAGTGGTTCGAATGACAGGATCTGAATCAGAGGTCCTGGTTTTCGATTCCGCTTTGAACGGCTTGATGTCGAGAAGTCGTGATAACGGTTTAGAAGAGATAGATAGAAATATGTTTTCAAGTGGAACGAGCCCTATACCGGCATTGTTGCATCAATAACTATTCGCCCTATTACAGAAATTGTAATAATAACTAATCAAAAAGAACTCAGTTCTAGACAAGTGGTTTGAACGATAGAACTTAAATCAGAGGTCCTGGGTTCGATTCCGCTTTGAGCAGCTTGATGTCGAGAAGTTGTGATAACGGTTTGGAAGAGATAGATAGAAATATATTTTCAAGTGGAAATAGCCCTAAACCGGCATTGTTGCATCAATAAATTGTCAACCTATTACAGAAATTATAATATTAATTCAACAAAAATTTATCAAAAAGAGATGGGACACTGTTTGGGTTGCCATCTGCAGTACCGACAAGTATTATGTACCACGTATTAAGTCAAATCAGCACAACAGCTTAGAGTAATTATATAATTATAAAATGATAAAAAAATTACAATATTGTGTAATGATTCCTTCTCGACGAATAAAATATATCATCGAATCGTTGTCAGAATGTGCATCGAACGGTAATGCATAAACCTCAGTAAAAATTTGATGTTAGAAGCAATTATTGTCGACGTAACAAAGGTAGAGTCGTAGCGTCGTAGATATTGCATCGGTGTCTATTCCTCGTATATGTTTACGGATGTGTTTTTGCGAATCGCGCCTGTTCTGTTGTGAACATGGAACGAGCGATACAGCGCGACTCTCGTTCAGTTTTCACAGCGCGCGCCGAGAGCGCCAGAGCGAGAGGGAGAGCCGCGCCGTTGTCGTTGTCGTTCTCGCTCTAACGCGAGTCCGGGCGTGTCTCTCCAATGGCCGCAGCGAGGGGCGTGTCCGGGTGGCAGCCGGCGCGTAGCCGCCGATCCGGGCCCGACTCGCGACGCCCGTGACTCCCGCAAAGGCGTCTCCGCCGAACATCCCTCTCCCGATCGAGCGCTAGCACCGAGTGACGCCCACAGTCAGCGCCAGTGATTGACAGTTGGCAGACGACCGCGAAAGGCGCAGGGTCTCGCCGGGTACGCGCCACTTTTCAATTTTCGAGTGTTCATAGTGTGACGTGTGAAATGAAAATGACGCGATTCGAAAGATGCAATGTTTGTTAATAGTAACAGTGACTTATTTACAACTGACTGATTACGCGACGCATTCTCTATGCGACAAAAAAGAGTTTTCGAAAAGTGCTATCGTAAAAGAAAAGAGATAAGATCTTTAAAACAAAGTGAAATTGGTTCGGTTTTTTTAGTTTGATTTTAGTTTAATTTTCGTTTAGTTCTGTGATTTCGTTTTCGCGCGCGTACGTCCTAGAAAACAATCGCACTCATGTGATCCGTGATAAGGGTGTTATGCACCTTAGCAGGATTCCTTATTTGTTGTTATTATTGTGCATTAAACCGGGTGCTATATTAATTAATAAATAGTGAATAATAGTTTTGTATTGAATTAGTGTAGATAAGGGACAAGTGTATATATATTTATATATACACATATCTTTTTTTATATATATATATAAATATATATATACATAGTGTGTTGCTATATCAGAATTTAAAGTGGCACAGCACGCTGAGTATCCTCCCGCCGGGAGATATCCTCCCATGGCTCAACCGAGGGTAGGTTTCAATAAAAAGTGATCAAAATATAACGAATACACGTGTGTCTGTGATGTGCAACCATTGTATAGTGATACTTGGACCAGATATGGAAAGAAATCTTTGTTAAATTATGTTCAATTGAAAAACGAGGACTAACTAACATACCAGGGCAGTTTCCTCGTGACGCGAATAGAAACATAATATAAATTCATAATAGAAATCAAAAATATTTATAAAGATTCTTTTCTTCTACTCATTTGTTAATCAAATTTAACGAGCGCTTGCGATATCATAAATCACATGCCAATGTTTGTAAACACCCAATGAATAAACTTATCAAAATCGCCTAAAAATAAGTGTCATAACAATACTTGCCTTACACAATAGGTCATCGGCATTTAATGTTTTCACTAATAATAATTAATTCCAAATGTGTCTTATAATAAATCGGCGAAACAATAAATAACAATTCTAAACCGCGATAAAACGAAAGTGACTTCCCGACGTTTTGTACGTGATAACATTTCTTACGACGCACATGGTCACGGGAATAAAATGATGTAAACAATAAAAATAACTTAATTTATTGTTATATATTTTAACGCAAAATTTCAAGTATTTTACCAATAGAAAATGCCGTCGGAAAAAATAATTGATGATTTTAAATTTATAATGGAAATTTATATATTTTCAATAGGGGTTAAATATTTTGTATGACCCCCGAACGGTGTTTTAACGATATTCTTAATTTTTACAAAAATGAAGAATTTATACTACTGTACTAATTTATATTAACAATAATAGTACATATGTAAAATTGCTTAACGTATGCAACAACTTTTATACTTCTAGCATAACAAAAATTAGTTAAATTTTAATATCGTTTATATATATATATATATATATATACGTTTATATCGTTATCGTTAAATAATTAAATTTTGTAGTTACAATTCGTTGAATATATCGTTTGTACAATTTTTGCAAAACAAATTTTATACAATTATCAGAAAACTATAAATATATTGCTTATTAGAAAATTTTACGATATCAGATAATTTAGTTAAAATTGTATCCAGGAAACTTAATGTATCAAAGAATAAAATTATTTTGTCAAAATTCCTGAAAAAACACTATTTTTTATGTCACAAATATATGATTTATATGGCTCTTTACTGATTATTTTATTGTATTAAAAAAAATTGACTTATGTAGAACTTCTTAGCGTCGGACACATACTACTGACATGGCGATTAACGTGTTAAAAATTTGTCTAATAATGTGTCTAATTATTAACGTGTTAATAATTTGTCTATTATTATTATACCAATTATACTCTTTATTTGAGTAATAATATCATTATATCTCTTACTACATTTAAATCGTTTTTATCTAATGTAAGTGTAATATTTGAACGTAAATTAATAATCAACAATATTTTCTGTAAATAAAATGACTTAAAACTATCACAAAATTATAATTTAAAAAAGGCGTTAATTATATTATATAAGCGCGCTAAAAGTGCAACTATTCAATAATGAACTTATTTGTAATTTTTTATTAATTTCTTGCAACATTCAAACCATTTGTATAATATGAATGCATTATTTTACAAATTTGTACAAAAATAAATGATCTGAAATACTTTATAATTTCTACCCCTTTTTCATATAAAACATTTTATTGACTATAATACGAACAAATGCAAAACTTAACAATATTCATAGTACACCTATCAAATTGATATTAATACAATTATTTTTATATTATAAACTATATCACATTGTGATTGAATATATGATATGATATTGGAAATAAAGAAAAAATTCTAATGATTTATATTGCTACTTTAAAATTGCAATTACAAGTATAAATTATCCATCGAATACAATGTCTTAAAAAACTGTATAAATTTTGAAGAAATTGTGAAAATGTTGAGAACCATTGTAATTCGAAAAAGCCGCCACGCGGTGGTTCTGAAACATACTGGTGCGACATGTGTTTCCAAAAATGTTATTTATGCTAAAAAACAACAGAAAAATATAATTATTCATATATATTTTGCTGTAAATAAGAAAAATCAGCAAATATCATTTTGATCTTATTTGATTGAATGAAAAAAACTATCATTTATATTTATATTTTTGCATATAAAACTATATATGTAACAAAACATGTAAAAATTTTCACGGTTCAATCCAGTTTAAATTTTTTACCCCCCTAACAAAATCCGGCCGTCGCAAAACTCACATCCATATTTGTTTCCATAATAAATATGTCTTTAAAATTTCCAAAATCAATCAGAATTTTACATGTTTATTATCAAAATAAAAATCTCTGAGGTCCTTTGACCAACAAGGATCGTATCCCAGGTCAAGTGTTGTAAAACGTTCTTTTTGCATAGAAAGCAAGTAATAAAATTTTATTGATTATAAAAGAAGGCATGAAAAAAATTTGACGTGCATTTTACGAATTTCTTTCAAATATTTTAGTGTTTATCTGGCAATGATTTTTTACACGTAGGGGTATAAAGTCACAAGTATTGAATAAGTTGTTAAGTAATATCAATGGTTTACAACATTTGGTGATTTTTTCTGTATGACTATCCTGGGGCAAATTATCTTACAAATTGCATTATATTGCATTTAACTTTGTTCTTGATATATTGAGTATAAAATTAAATCATCTTTGATATTTTTAACGCCATTTTTTAATACCCTACAGCTACTCGGTATGCTTTTAAACTCCCATTGAAAATGTAAAATTAATTCGAGAGCTCTAAAAATATTTTGCATTCAATTTTATTGCAATTTGCACAAGCGCGCCGGCTTTTTGGACATAAGTGATGTGAATTCCAGAATATTATGGTTTTTAATATTATTATATTAAATTTAATATTTTTGTAATGTTTTTGAAAGTTGGTATTAAATTAACCCAACACAGAAAGTTATATTTTTAATATTTTGTTGTGGTTTAATTTGTTTTGAAAATTGGTGAAAAAACATGAAAGTTTGATTTGAAAATTTTAATAGGTAAAAAGTGCATTATTTAAAATAATTGACATATAGTTACAATACATTTTTGTAATTTTAGTTAAAACATAAATTATGTTGTCAAATAACAATGGTTCAATATGAAATAGGCGAAAATCATTTTATGTTAAAGCTTTATTTTTTCTATGTGTTAAATGTGAATAATTGTTAGTCAAATTTTTTTGCTCACAAAAATGTATTTTTTGCATATATATACACATATGTGTCCATATATATATATATATATAATATATATATATATATATATATATATATATATTATTTCTAGAAGTTGTGTTAGTGAACATTTTGCCAGTCTTTTTATCAATTTTAGTGATTCAATATATAAATTTTTGCTTCCATCAATCTCTTCCATTTATTTTGCTAATAAATTTTAAAATATACATAATAAATATATAACCAAAACTTGAACGATCTCTATTTTAAAATAATTTCTGACTCTTATCGAAAAAAAAGCATCCTACGTCATTAAGTCATTCGGTTCCGAGACTTTTATATTAATTTAATACACCAGACAAAATATTTAAGTCAAATCTATAATTTATTCAAATTTTATTAAAATAAAATCTATCTCTTTGCCGGTGCTGTCATGTATTTAATTTTTTTCTGATTTGTGATTCATACGAAACTGTCGTGTGTGACGCGGTGACACCTGTAAAGGCCCCGTCACACACGGCAATAATTTTTGGATTTAAAACGACCCAATGAAATTATAGTATATTTTGGCTTTTTTTTTTAATTTCGAGTTTGAAACTTTGGGAAATGAAATAAACTATTGGATTCAGGAACTTTTGATTTAACTTTTGGGCATCAAATATATGTTGTATTTTTTGGTTTTTGGATTTTATAATATAAGTATATTAGATTATTATCATAATATTACTGTATTTTTTAGATTTTGTAAGTGCAAATTTTATCCTTGAAAATATAATAATTTCTTATCGTTTTTCGGATTTAGTTATTTTCAAAATATAACAATTATAGTATTTTTGGATTTAGGAATTTTGATTTTTATTTTTTATAAATAAACAATCTATTGACGTGTCTTAGACAGAAATTTTGAATTCGTGCATAACTTGTAAATTGATGGGACTCGTGCCAAATGCCGTTTTTGAAATTTTTGGAAAAGCGCCAGTTTTTCTGAATTTTTCGAGCTGTTTGAGACGTAGAGGTCATAAAGGAAACTATTCGAGAATTTAAAATAAAATACTCATAATAATCAGTAGTGAATGTATAATATATTTTTTCAATACATTTTTGATTATATTAAGTTTTTTTGCAATTATGCGATTATTATTTAGATCAAAAGTAATAATCACGAAAATCTTTAAAAATATTTTTTTAAATGTTTTAATTAGTATATTTTATCGCACATTTTGATGTTTATAAAGGGTTTATACAACCAGAATTAAATTTTTATGAGAAATTAATAAATAGGTAATCATTTTTCACGAAATATTTATTTGTGTAATTGTATTCTCAGAATGATAGCACACTTCTAAATCATCAACAGAAATAATACAAAAAGAACTTCATAGAATTTGATAGTTTTCACCATATATGAAAAAATAGTAACACTTTTAACTAACAATTTACTGCTAATATGAAAATTTTTAATAAAAAATAAAATATTATTATAAATAAATAACATTATTTTCAATATTTTTGTCTAAAATGTATGACTAAAACATTTTTATAATATCTTAACTTATGATTATATAACTTATTATAACTTATAAAATCTCATGAAATAATTGTTTTTAACTTTTGAAGATTACCGACATATATTTAAATAAAAAATTCAGTAGTTTAAGACATGAAATAAACAGAAATTAAAGTAAATACAATTAATACGTTAAACAATATAAATTTTATGAGGAATATATTTATCATTTTGTTAAATTCTTATAATACAAAAACTAATAAAGTTTTAATAAATGTAGCAAATATCCTTATTAGCTTAAC